CGGGCGAGGGGGAGGGGTGGGCGAGGGGAGAGGGAGGTCCTGGGCGTGAGCTGAGACGACATTTCGAAAAGACGAGACGAAGTCCGAGAGCCGGAGAAGCCGCCTTCCAGCCTCTATGGAACCTCCATGTTGAGTGGCAGTCTATCGTTCCACGCCACACATCTGCTCCGCAAGCTTTGCCTTCTGGGCTTCCTGCCCATCTCCCCGTGACAGTCAAGCTTCAAGCTCCCCGCAAACGGCCGCCCTGACAATAACAACTGTTAAAAGCCTCCAATTTCTCTTCCTCCTTCTTGAAAAATAATAAAAAATCAGATTTTTTTCCTAGTGAGGCTATCAGCCCCCCTGCAATGAAGGACCGGCTAGAAGAATGACTGCCGTTTGCAAAAAGGGTAATATGATATGCCCCGCAGCTTTCCAACGGCAGAGGGACTTGGACCGAATTATGAATAATTACAAGTTATTTGTAACTACTTACTTTCTGCGTTTATCTGTCGTTGCGGGGCCCTTCCCCTGTTTTAAGGAACTCAGGACCCCCGCCAGTATTTGACCGGGGGCAGGGTAGGAACTTAATTTTAAACTCCCCTACCGAAATCTGGTTCGGTGACCAGTCGCAGCCTTAAAAGATGATGGTCTTCCAAAGGGTGGTTGTGATAAGAAAGCAGCGCACGAGGAGAAGGGACTCCTCCGAGCCTTATTAAAAATATAATGCACTAAAAACAATTGTGGGAAACAGCTGAGCCTCCATATTTTGCCTGTATGTGGTCTATAAGCCGAGGGTAACGGGGGCTGGAATTTTGGGGGGAGGCACCCCCTATGGGATCATATGACCCCCCCTCCGTGAATCAGGGAGCCTCTGGTGAGCTCTGAAGCCACCCTCTCCTCCCCCCTTCGCCTTCCCACTTTTTCTCGCTCTCCTCGTCCTTTTTCAAACAATTCCTTCTTTTTTTTCCCCCAGCCCTCCCCGTAGATCTAGCCGAAATTTCTTCCGCTGCAAAATAAAATAAAATAAAAAACACCCCAGGGCTTTTATTGCGGGCTACACTGGTGGGTGTCTTTCTGCTGTTCTCCCCTCCCCCTTTTTTTGTTTGTTAATACCTTCCACGTCTGAAAGGTTCAGGAACAAATGGAGAACTCGCCCTGCCTCTCTTAACCCCTAATTATTGCCGTTCTGACGCCCACGATGACGGTGCCGCAAAAATACAGGACACGGTCTTTGACTGGCCTTCTAGAACGGGTACAAGTTTTAACCAAAAAACTTAAGTATCCATTAAATGATGGGTTACGCCGTTCCGAATTCTGTTGCTGCTCTGATGGTGCTATTCCAGAAATCTCCAGCCGATTATAATATATTTTTAATAAAACGCTAGCGGCCCTGTTCCCGATGCCCCATGACTGCGGGGACCCCTGAAATGTGTTTCACCCACAAGAGAGTTATGTCTATGGCCGGGTCTCTTGTGTTCTGTGACTTTTTTCGCCGCGTTTTTTATCTTCAACTCTGGCATCGCCTGGAAGGGCAAGGTCAATGGATCCAGGCAGTGCCGGGTTCTCTCGCCGTCATGTCTGGGGTCTTGGGGCTTATTCAGACTAGGTTGAGACCGGGAAGCTCCTAGGGCAGAAGAGGACTTTCCCCATCCCCTTTTTGCTGGCGGGTGGCGGAGATTCGGCGGAGCAAGGGGGGCCCCCGGCGCGTGCCGTTTCCCCCTTGCCCGGGTGGCCAGGCGCGGGCGGCCTCCCTCGACGCGTGCCAGGAGCTGCCTCCGTCTGTTCGGCACGCGTCCCCCCAGGCTCAGTTACCGGCCTCTGGCTTGCCTTGAGCTCGCTTTGGGCAACTTCCCCGCTGCCTCTACTTGGGGGGGGAGGGGGTTTTGGAGACCTAGAGAAGCCAAACCGGCTCTCCTTCCGAGCTCTCCCCGTCCATCGTCTTCCTTCTCCGGGACGATCGGCGTTTCAGCTTTGCCTCCGCCGTCGGAAAAGGGCTGGGGGCTGGGCTGCGGGAGAAATCGTCCTACCGACTGCCCAGAAGTAAGGCTTGCGGGGGTGGGGGGGCAGTAAACGGATCTGGACCCCTGAGGCTGCCATCGCCGGCTCAGAGCGAGCCGCGGAAGGGAGTCGCCTCAACGCCCTCCTGGCTAAAGGGTGGCACCCTTTTAATGGAGTCTGGGGTGCTCCAGGAGGAAATAAGGAGCCCGATTCCAGGGAAGGGGGTTGCGAGCCGAAGGCTGATGCCAAGGGCTTTAAGAGAGAGGGAGATCACTCCCCCAGGTCGCCGCTGGCTATCTCCTCCCCATTGTTCTAGAATTCAGGTCGGGGGCTTCCCGAGGCTCACCTGCGTCTTTTGGGGAGGCAGCTGCGAAGAAATCTCCTCCTTCGAGCTTCCACGAGTTCTTTCTGGGCTTCTAAACCCCCCAGTTCAGGCCTTACAC